CAAAACCTTGCCACGCAGACCCAATACAGCTGCTTATTAATTTTAATCTTACAGTGCTACTTCTTAGTGAAATTAATTTAATTGGCTTATTGCTATTGCAAATATGTTGTTTCTGAGACTGAAATGTTTTAAGCTTATGCAAAGAGTATACCTTTTCAGTAGAAGAACCGCTGTCCTTAGAGAATGATTGCAATGGCTCATTTTGGGCCAGTTTACTGAGACAGTTAAATTCTGCCACACGCTCTTTCTGTTTGTCCAGCAGGATATTTAAAGTTACTTTAGCCTTCAGCAGACGTTGTACTGTGAGTATGTATGCGAGAAATTAAACCAAACCAAAATAACTACTTAAGACAAACCTCCAGTTTATAAAACAACTGATAGCATTTAAATCTTTTAATCTGCTTCACTAGCAGTAGGATCTGACAAAACAATAAAGCATTGGAACACCATTTTACATTAACATTACAAAATAAAGGAAATGTTTTTCTCTATGTATTTACATAAGCAAACATATAGGTATTCAAAATAGAATGCATCTCACTATCTGGCAATAATTATATAAGTACAGTGCATGGTTGGCTGGATGGGATAGATATATAGGATTTTTTACCCTGAAGTATATAAAGGATGCACACCAGCTTGGAAGATACATGGTGAGCTTCATTTCTTTGGACACTTTTCGGATGCAGTCTTAACAGTAATAAAATGTCAATCTACTTGAAAATTGTTAATTAAAACATTTTTTCAGACAAAGCAGGTTTTTTGGATGCAGGTATGACAGACTGACTCAGCATGCTTTTCCTGTAAGGTAGCGGAACGTCCTAATCTCTGAGCTAGTCTGGTGAATGTCTTCTCTTTTTTTGCCTGGAAAATTACAAAAGTTTCCATTCCAGTCTGATGCATAATGAAAACACTCACATTTTTTTGCAAGATGGAAATGTTGCTCTGAAGCTGGTCATACTAAACTGTAGCGTTCATCCCAAGAGTGGGCCCACTGCTATAAATTCTGGTTTAAAAAGGCTGAACTTGGTCATCTGTCTACAGTATAATGACTCTATTAATTGCTATCTACTGATGAATGACCTCCTGCAGATCTGGCATGGTGGGTAGAACAAATTCAGACACTGACTCTGTCATCCTCACTAAGGCAAACTACACAAAAATCTGTTAACATTTTGGTGCAAGGTGGCAGAATCAGGCCTCACTAAACTGTCAAAGATGTCCATAAAGAGCTGGAGATACTGGTCTTTATCTGCTGTGCATTCTTGGCTTTGAGAGACTTCTTAGGCAAAAGCTGCTGATCACTCAGTAAAACCATCTATCTGAGTGCTCACAGAATTAAAATGTCAGGTCTCAGATATCCCTGTTTCTAAGCAAAAAAATAAGTGTTATGTTACCTCCAGCTGTCAATTAAAGAAATGCTATCAGGTCTCTTAGGTCCAAAACATAGGTTTTATTTTAATAAGCTGGAAAAAAATTATTGTTCAGAGTCATCTTCTGATGAAACATCAGGCAAGTAAATGAAACCCTCTCTGTTTGTAGTGAAACATTCCCTGTCAGTATTTGCAACCTGAGCAATTTGACATTGTGAAAGAGGAACAGAAGGTGAAATGAAAGAGAAACGGGGAGGGGGCTGATTTGCTCTGCCGTGTGGGTGAAATGCAGACAGTAAGCAGAGAGCATAAGCAATGAACGTTAAATGCTCAGTAACAGTTTATCAAGTGCAAGCTGGTGAAGGAGACTGTGCAGACCAGCAACCGGACCCTCAGGAGTTTTGGGAGGAATTGAGCTTCAGAGAAGTGCAGGCTCCTATATACATCGTAGAGTAGGCAGGCAGGCTCTGCTCCCTGGCCCAAATGGGCAATAGGACCCAAGCTGTTAATCCCATCTGCTTCTTTCTTTTGCAAGGCCAGGGACACTAGCATCAAGATGTGCACAAATTGCACAAAACATGGCAATTACCTCCAGTGGTGGAAGCATCTGTGTTTCCTTTCCCCTTACACGCAGGGTTAGAGACCTTCAATCCTGCATCAGTATTCATCATATGAAGGCAATCTGGTTTGGTGGCAGATCCTGAGCCTCAAACCTCTACTCAAGAAAGACCTTTGGCTTTATTACTGCCTACTTCTTCCCTGGGGTGCCTGTTCCAAAGTGTGAATCCTCAAAACCATCACTCCAGTTGTGGAGTTATCTGGACTCCAGGAGGTACCCGAGTACCCTGTTTTGTGGGATGCCCTGGACCACTTGTGCTCCATCAGTGCTTCACCACTTGCCTGGTGATATGAGCTGACTGTTGTCCTTGGGTCAAGCCCCCGGTTTAGGGTCTATAACAAACTCATCAGGAAACAGTGGAAAGTCACTACTCCCACCTGCTATTACAGTGGTTCTCATGCTCAGCTACGTTTAGCAGATTCCCCCTGAAATCCCTTCTGTGGCTGTGTGGCACCCCTCACACGGTGCTGTGTGGGAGCAGGGTGTGCACAGGGAAGCAGGAGCAGCAAGTTCATTTTTCCTTCCGCTGAAGCTGTTCAGTTTGGTGACGGTGATCAAGTGTACCTAGAGCCAGAGAGACCATATAAACCACCTCAGTGAGCACGGCATTTATGCCACTTGATTGATCAGGTGATCCTAAATTCCCAGTATTGGGGGGGGG